AGACATTGGTCTCATTTAAAATATATTAAATTTCATTACGTTGATATTTAATAGTTTATTTTCGCGAACGGATAAGCCTTTTACCAAATTGTAAGGTAATAAACGCGATCTTATCCGTTCAAAGTAATTTGATTTTTGTTGCGGTATAAAAGTAAATGAGTTCAGATTTCACAGAGTTTAGTTAGTGCATTTTCGAGTATTTGGAAAAAGTAAGTAATTCTTCGTATAATTTAGCGTAGAAATTATAACCCGTAGTTTCTAGTCAATATGCACCTACGAGTACATTGCTTCAGTTCTTGCATTTGCGAGTGGTCCTTATTTTATTTGTAGTGCACGATTATTAGGGACGTAAGTATGTACTTGTTCTCATCGTGAGACTCAACATGGCAAAGTCTCTGTACATTTGTATATCTATATCGTCAAATCAACTATGAGGCTTAATTTAGCTATTTTTTATAAAAGTTTCTTATTTATCTCATTACTTTTAGTGAAAAGGATTCAACCATCTGGCTCTCAGAAAAGAAAGCTAAAAAAAACGAAGACTGAAGAGGCAAAATCGCTTGTTGGATCTTTATCCAAATACCTTTGTTGAAAGAGCATTGCTTAAAATTAGAAGAGACTGCTGGAGGGTCAAAGAGAGTACTATATTCTTTGTCAAAAGGAATACAAAATGAATTTGTTCAATGTTTGGGTGATCATGTAAGACCAAAAATTATTGCAGATATTAAAAAGGCTAAGTATTACGGAATCACTTTTGACAGCACTTCTGACGAAAGTAAAATAGAACAAATGAGAAAATCATTAGGTTCGTTCATATGGAGAATGACATTGTGGAAGTACGAGAATCTTCCTTGGTTTTTAGGGTTCCGTACCTCAAAAGGTAAAAAAGGAACCGTTTAAGATCACTTTCTTGTCCGTCTGTCAGTCTGTCCGTGTGTCACCACCGATTTTTTCACGAACGGGTAGACCTAGCAAGTTGTAATTTATACCAGATACTGAGGTCTATGGTCCTGAGTCAACACGCTAAAAAGATATGGGCAAATTTAGATTTTCACGAAAACTTGTAAGTACCAAAATTTACTTTAATTATCAACTTTTTTATTTTTTAGAATTTTCTCTTTACTTGTGCTGTAAGACCTTGCTTTTAACCAAAATTGACAATTCTAGGTCAAGCGGAAGTACCTTATAGATTTTAGGTCAAAAATCTATATGGTTCCCGTTGACCTAGAATCACGAAATTTGGCAAAAAGAAACGTCTTACAGCACAACTAAAGGAATAATTCCAAAAAATAAAAAAAAAGTTGAAAATTAAGAAAAATTTTGGTACTTACATATTTTCGCGAAAATCTACGTAAAAACTGGGTAGGTACGGAACCCAAAGTTCGACTCGTACCTGACCGGTTTTTTTTTAATGTCTGGAAAAACTGCTGAGGATATTCAAAAGACATTCAGAAACAACTGGAAAAAGATGGACTGGATATTGCGTTGTGCAGGGCTCAAGGTTATGACAATGCCGCGTTCATGTAAAGTGTCCATGGAGGGGTGCAATGAAAAATCCGAACAGTAAATCCAAAGGCACTGTTCAGTCCTTGTTCTAATCATTCCTTGAATCTTTGTGGAGTTCATGCATTTGCTTCCAGCGTCACGTGTTTTGGAACAGTAGGAAAATTATATTGGTTAATAAAAAGAAAAAAATCCAAAGAAGTCGATTTCACAGAAGTTATTGAGGAGTTCAGTAAATTGAAGGCACGAAAACACACATAACACCGTACAAAAAATAAAAAAAACTATCTTTGATTTATTTTATCAATTTTTTTTGTGTATTTTATTTTCCTCACCCATATCCATATTGCAGGTATGTAGGTTTATTTAACCTAAATAATTTAATTCGAATTTAAATTTCACTTGCCAGATTTTAACGAATTAAACATAAACACTTATTTATGCATACAAATGTAAACTGAATAAAAAGCTTGTAAAACTACATTTTTTTTTAAAGCTGGTGGGCCTCATTCTGCTTAACTGCCGCGGGCCTCTGACGGGCTTAGTCCGCTATTGATCTGGGCACGTCATACACAGGTCATCACGACGTTTTTTGTCTTTCCCATAAACCTTTTATTACACACAAGCTATCCGCACGAGTGCAATGTAGATACCACTAATATGATGTCAGTGTGGAGTTTTTAATTATACTATTATCATGATAGGACTATACTACAGGACATCTTTAAATGCAATATTTGTGTAATGTATTATACATATAAACCTTCCTCTTGAATCACTCTCTCTATTGGTGAAAACCGCATTAAAATATGTTGCTTAGTTTAAAAGATCTAATCGTAATAAGATCGTAGCGTAAGAAGTTATTCGTGTGGTGACGGATTAGGAATACGGAATGTCACCACCCCTATTCATCCCATGGGTGTCGTAAAAGCCGACTAAGGGAACAAACTACATAGGATAATAGCACTGGAAAAAGAAGGAAAACTTCAAACAAACCCTATACCAACCCGTCTGGCCAGCATGGTATAGTAGGCCAAAACCTCCTTTCTAAGAAGAGGCCTAGCGTACAAGACAAAAAAGCGACTTTATTTTAGACTATGTAAAGATTGTTCTGTTCTTTTTAGAACGTCTGTATCTCTTTCAAGTTACAATACAATACAAAATTCGTTAAACAATATAACGGTATAAGATCGTCGTTCCTACTATAATTTCCAATTTGTTTCAGACAATCTTTAGATAGACAGATGCAATGGATTAGTATGATATGTCAACATTAAATAAAATACGTACAGGCGCTAAAATGAGCACTTTCGTAATGGCTATGGTATATAAAACTAAAATACTAAGAAAAAATTACGCAATACTGAACCTAAAAAAAAAATTACATCATAAAATTGTTGTTACAAGTTCGCTAATAGCTTTACGTTGTAATAGCAATAAAGACGGTATCGAGTTTAAATTCCACTTATCGCAGTAGCATACGACTAAAGGCGAAAGAGTTAACAAGAATACTTAACATAAAGCTAATACCAAACGTTTGGATATGGTACATTCTGAATTAACCACTTGGTACGGTAGGCCACAATATGCCTGCTGGCCACAGCAGATGACCAGATAGGATTGTAATGTTTTTTGTTAAATATTAGTTGGATGACAAAGTTCGTTTCTAGCTAATCCATTTCAAAACTAATCAAATACTTATTATATTCTTAGTTTAGTTACATGATAAAACTGCAATCTTATTAACTTCGTTTAGTGTTTATACATACAACACGTATTTCAAAACCAGTTCTGCCACTTGGTTATCTTTCAAAACTAGCTTTATTAAAATTTGATTTATAAAAATCGATTTCCTGAAACCCCGTCGAGTCAGACGAACAGAATGTAGTATTAAGCTATGTATTTCATATTCATTAAAGTTGAATAACTGCTCGAATTAATCGATTCGATTCGAATCTATTCTCATCAAATCCAAAGGTTATCTCAGGACCGGAACATATTGTCAATTCTCATAAATATACTTCTCGTTTCATATAGCTAAATAAAACCGCAATATATCGTAAGTAAACAATTAAATAAGTATGTCATGTATGTAGATCAGGCGTACAGATTAAGTTTAATCTGAACCTTTAATCAGCGTATTCTCATTCATCCCCTGTGAGCATTTATCGTTCGTCCCTCTGGGTTACTATCAGACCCAGCTCCAGACAAGACTAATTATTTACTACACACACAATAATTACACTACTACTATTACACAATAATATTCTTCCTGATTTAGTAATTACTTGTAAACGAAACATACAGATAAGAGTTAGTTTATCGACTAAGCTGCACATAAAAAGGTTAGAGGTCACACTCGTATTAAATGTAATTAAATAATAAAATGCTCGACACAGTCGTGTGAAACCAGTTCTTTAATCGCATTAAAGAGCACATGCCGTAATTGCATTGTCTTTAATCTATTGTCGTAGGGATCCTGAGGTAAGTGCGTAGTAAAAAAACATTTAACAAGAATCGGCACTTAAGGCTAGTATTACCAGAAATACTGTATGGATTAAGACGTCTTAATTTAAAAAATTCTAGGCAGAATATAGCTTTCGCGCGTAAGTTTATGTAATACCACATGTAACAAATATATTTTTTACTATTGGAATATATTATCTTGCAATATTTGGCATCTATCTATGTAAAATTTGAAAAAGTTGAAACATATTCGCGCTCTAGCTAAGTCTAGTCTGGCCCAGCCTTCATGAATCAAACGATCGTCATGCAATTTTGCATAAACGATGTCAGGGATAAATTAAGAGCCTAAATTCTCAACTCTGACCTGAAAACTGCACAAATTTGTCAGGCATTTTTCCGGACTTTACAATTAGAACCTACATCTACTGAGCTCTACCTCCGCCGTAATTTGTCAAGCGGACATTATCATAAAACAGTTTGCTAATATCATAATATGGGAAACATCACAGGACTGTTTGTTGTAAATAGGTGAAACCACTGCTTAGCAAAATGTGACAATTAAAATAAATAATAGAAAAACACTATGTCTTTTTTTAACGATATAATATTTTTTTAGGAATAATTGGTCACCCTACCAGCTGAGAGACGTTACGCGGTAGAAATCGGTCTGTCTATGACGACCTAGATCCTACTTCTCAAGAAATGATAGTAAACGTGTTTATATTATTAAATATCGTGAGAATGGTAAAGAAAGACAAAAGAAAAGTTATTAGTTCTTAGTGTATGTTAAGCAAGTACTTTTTCTTTACGATCTACCGTATATTCACTTTCAATAACAATTTATTGATATTTAGTACAATTTCTTGAACAGTTACTTATTGAATTTAATAGACTTCATCCGTTTACATGTAGCATGGAAACGCTGTATTGTACATATTAAGCTAAATACTTCTTAGTTTTCTGTGAACGTAAAACGAGACGAAAGCAGGTCGTATTCTAACGGACTATGATTTCTTAAAAACGAGTCTCACCTGCACATTGCTTCACGTCAGTGGCGGCGGCGACAGCGACCACAGCGAAACACACGACTACACCGATCGAGACCATTGTTGCTTCTGATTGAACTATTACAACTCGGACAACTGAGACGACGAACACACTGCACAGCGGGCAGATTGAGTATCGGCTTCCTTTGTATTGACACGAAGTATAATGTACAATAAGCTAGCCATGTCTGAGTTTGCCCATATATACGACGAGATAGGCGCGTGCTCGGATTCAACGCTATCCGTGAGTCCGTGTCGGCTTTTTAACTTGTCTGGATGATACGCTGATAAAGTGAATCATTTATTTTAACATAACATGGCGTAAAACCTGTCTGGTGCACATTTCGTCGAAATTTTGGTTTGTTTTTGTTTTTACAAATTCCATTGGTTACATGGTGCGACTAAATGTTCTAAGAACTGTGATCGTACTTTACTGTCCACTCTGGTTTTATTTGAGTTAAACTGTTTTTTATGACAACTAAAGTAGGTATTATACCTACTTTGGACCATGAATGGGAGACCAGAACAAATGATATTATTTGTAACTCCTTTAGTTTATTGCTAAAAACTCAGATTACAAAACAAAATTTGTAATCTGAGGCTAAAAAGAAGACGATACAGGCTTCAGAAAAATTGAGCTTGTTGAGTAGCAAGAGCGTAATGTGCACAACTTTCAGGATTATGTCTTTCTACACCAAATTTTAATATTGCAATGTAAAATTAAATATCACATCTAAATGGATATATTTTACAAGTGCTACTATTAAGACAATTCTACAAGACATAGCTAACCAAGGTTTTTCGATTCCACGATTCGATTTTTTAAATTTTATTTTGTCTTTTTATATTTGTGTCAAGAAACGTACGTAGCATGTCTTATTTTTACTCAGATAGGTAAGTACTTAATTAAAAATTGTTTTCGAACGGTTACATTATGCGTATTTGTTTCCTGTATTTAAAGATTTTATATTTCATGTTTTATTTAATGTAAAGGCGAAACTTCGATACACATAGGTATGGATAACAGAATTTCTACAGTTGAGGAAAAGGATTAAAATAATTATTGATATTCTCAGAAATCTTATTCGAAGTATCATCTCAATGGTTTAAGACATAGGAGCTTAACAACTCACGTCGCCGTCGTGTCAGTATGTAGCGTTGTTGTTTTTGTCAGTGTTCACAAATACTTCTCGAACAAGGGTTACATAAAAGTACCTTCGTTATTATTTTTTATTGAAATACCATAAATAATATTTCATCATCCGACTTGTAAAAATATCATCATTTCATTTAAATTTAATAAAATTATTTGTAACTTGTTTGGTTCACGTTCATCATAATTTTTAGGTAGGTACATGGAGTACCTACAAAAATAGCATTATTATGTCCGAATTTTAGTGTTCTTTATTTAGTAAAATGCAGCTGGAATGGACATTATGACCCCAATTTTTGTTCTGTGCGGAAATCCCTTCAGATATTACCCACTGATAGTTATGTCTTGACTTGAACCGACTAAAAACCGCACACTGTCTTTGGTACCAGTGGGCGGGGAACCAGGTGCACCCTAGGAAGGAAATCCATAGCACCCCGACGGTACCGGGTCATCTACGACTTGTAGATGACCCCTCGTGCGTGGGAACCACGGTGTTCCCATTCTACTAGGTGTTGCACGATGTTCCCTAGAGGCGGTGCGCCCTCCACAGCGCATCGCGCCGCCAACACTGCCTGCTTTTGCTAGGGTGGCAGATGGCCTCACCTGTAACGGACGAAGGTCGTTTTGTACCTTGTCGTCTGCGGTACCTTGCCCGTTCCTTCCAGAGTTCCAGAGTGCTAAACCTCTACCGCTCACGCTCCGCCGCGCCGGTACCCATAACTTGCTCGCAGGAGACGGCGGACTTTCACGCGCTCTTGCTCTGTAGCTTGGCCGCAATCGTAGGAGTTCCCACTCCGATGGCCGCCAAGAGGTCACGCCTGTGCTTCACCGACGCTGCTGGGCATTCTGTGAGCGTGTGAAGCGCCGTGTCCACGGTCTGGCAATCGCAGTGGTCCCACTCAGGCGTTGACTCCTTGCGGATCAGACACAGGTGATCCCCAGCGATCCCCGTCCCGGGACCGTATGTCATTTTGTCATAATGACAAAATGACATACTAAAAGGCGTTGTTGTAATAGGGGTATAATAAAACAGGTTGCGTCCGTCCATTCAACGATGGATGCGGACTGCCTAAGACCGGGATGGGGCCTCTTTAGGGGAAGCATTCGGACGGTAAAAGGTTGTTGAGTATTATTACGTATCCTTGCCTGACTTTATATTGCTCACCTACACCATTACCCCACACACACTCACATATGCACCCCCCAAACCATTTATTAAGTATTATTTATATATTTATTTTAATAATTTTTTTATAAAGAAAAACGTTTGTCTGATTTTATCAGACAATCCTGAATGTTCTTTCTTTAACAATGTATTGAGAGCATCAATGATTACATCACTCTTTTGTCCAAGAAGTGTGACAGTACAATGGCCGAAAGAAGGGGGTCATGAATTTTGTGTCGGAACTTTTCAAAATCTACTACTAAACCGTATAACGTTAAGTGTTGAGAAAAAACTTATAAAGAATATTGTAAAGCCTAAGCTTAAAGTTAAAAATATTTTAGATCCAAAGATAATGACTATTTTCTTTATTAGATCTTTCGTCAATGCAATTTAATGTCTATCGTTCATTTATTAAAACATTTTTGTTCCATTACTTTTCTAGAACGTATATTAGCCATTTAAAAAAAAATATAGTTTTGAAAAACTAAAAAACACGCTTTCTATAGAAAACCAACCTAAAAAACTTTTTTAGTTCGGTTTTCTATAGAAAGCGTATTTTTTTTTAAATTAGTGTATTGTTATCGGTCCTCGATATATCTACAAAGTTTGAACGAATTCTGACCGTTTAAAGTCAGTCAATATCACGCCCAAAGGAGTCTGTTACAAACATACAAACAAACATACAAGTGAAGCTAATATAAAGCGTGTAAAAAGGCGCGAATTGCAAATTAGTCAGGTTTGGTTAGCCATTATACTGGGAAGGGGCTAATATGATCACCTGAGGACATCAAAAGTCACTTATTACGTGTTTTGATGTAGTGTCTAGAAAAGTACAAGTACACTAAATAAAGAACACTAAAATTAAAAAGTTGAATATAACTGGTCTGTAGAACATAATAAAAACTGGTTTCGATCTCTTAAGAAGTTGCATGTATGTATGTTTTAATAAGTACTAATTAGGTCTTGAGTACCCGGATCTAAGCGACTGCCAGGAATGATTACGTTGTTTGCTGAAGCATCAAAAGATTCTATATTTATGCAGTCCTGTCAGCAGTTGGCGGGACATATAAAAATTTTGGATTTTTTAATCACACTATTGGTTAGCGATTGTATTGTAACAACGTTTGGACTTGTTCCATGTAAAAATATGATAAGAGAAATGAGAATTAAAAAAGTCACGGTCTATGCCGTTCCTTAATATGAATAATTTCTGGCTTAGCGACGGGAAACGAAACCGAATTTCACAGTTTAACGAGCCCTAGAACGAGTAGTTAAAGACTAACCATTATGGAACCGGTTCAAATCAACGTAACCCGAGCTACTACCTACCCGAGACACTACCTGCCGCCTGTTAAATTTCTAAATAACTTTAAAAGTATAATGTTTACCAAAAAGCGGGTACTGATTGTAAGTACTTAAAGTATAAAATAATCGTAGTAGTCAAGGTAAACTGCATGTCCTATTGAATATGATGGCATAGTTGCACACTAATGGCACTTGTTGCGGTCTAACGCCGATACATTAAACAATGGGTACAACTCTTAATTACCTACTGAGGTTTTCTGCATAAGCCAGTAACAAAACGTATAGCGGCTTCCTTCTATTTTTTGAAAGTCAAATTTTTCAAGACAAGGAGATTTTACAAACCCTCAAACAAAGTATACAAAAAGTAACCAGACTCGGGACTATTAATTGACCACAAAAAATTCTGTCCTAAAGGTTTGAACCCATTCCACACGGGGTAGGCAGGGCGTAGTGGCGAGACGAACATTTGTCAATCGCCCTTCCGTTCGCAAAAAATAAGATCCGAATAAATAAATTACACTACAAGCAGATTATTCAAAAATAATTTAAATGACCACGAAATCGTCCAAATTAGATCGAGGAACAAGCATGGATTGCTCGAGAGGCGACTTTAAATTCAAATGCAGATCTACATATAAATAAATCCAAATTTATATATAATATTATGATAATGTTAAAGAAAACGTTTAAAACATCGTCATACATTAATAGAACTGAGAGCAACACTACATTATTTACTGGGCCGAGTTAGTACAATATTGCGTTTAGTTGCATTATTTTATACTATTTAATAAGTAATGAAACTGTTAACTAAGTTAGGTTATGAAGAGAGCGCTGGTTGAAACACAAGTTGTGGATACCAGCCAGCGCTCTCTTCATGTCATGCGAAGGCCACAAGGAAAACTGTCTGGAATGCTGAATTATATTTCGGAAAATACAATTCTTAAATAGTTGTTTATGCTTGCTAGGATGTGAGGCTTAGACCAATATAATCTCGATGGGAGTAAAAAAGTTTAGTTAGACTGTAGGTTAGGGTGTCCCGAAATTTTTTTATTCTTATTTTAGCTACTTAAGACCTCTCAAAAGTTGCGCTGTTAGACGTAGATTAGCGTAAAAATAATTCAAAAAATATTTAAAAATATCCTTAGGGCTCTACCAGCATTTTTATTTACTGAAAATTCGCAAAAACAACCTTGTAGTCAATGTCGTATATTCTATGTTTTATGAATCAATCCTGTTTTGTCTTGTAATTTTATCAATAAGAAAAGCCTCGGCTATGATTTGCAAGTATCGACAGGCTGTTTTAGCGATCAATCGGTTTGGATCGGACTTTCAAAATTCCTACAAAATTCATGTTTTGACTTGATTTTCGTACGTGCGCTACTTCTACAACAAGACAGTTCGTCTCATTTCTATTTCGATTTAACTCTTGTAAGGA